CAGACAAAATACATACATGTGTACATGAATATTATAGATATTATTGAAAGATGTCATGTACTTTTCTTATTTTGGCAGTTTCACTTTTTCTTTTTTTTTTTTTTAACATTCCTTTAGCCTAGTTTCATTTACTCTTCTTTCTCCATAATAACCCAAAGAAACTTACTTCATAAAGCTTTAGTTAGATAGGTCTGTTCCTCACATATTGAATTTTATAACACATATCTCATAAGGAATACCTGAATTTTATTATATTTTATTCAATATTTAGGGAAATATATTTATCATTAAAAGTCACAATCTGTGAAATACACTAAGACACATCATAAATTACCCAAGATTAAAGATAGGAGAGAATCTTAAATGCAGCAAGAGGAAAGGAGAGTTACCTACAAAGGAGTTCCCATGAGACCTGTCAGCTGATTTCTCAAAAACAAACCTTACAGGCAAGAAGGGGCTGGAAAGAAGTATTTGAGGTCATGAAAGGCAAGGAGCTAAATCCAAGATTACTCTATCCAGCAAAGCTATCATTTAGAATGGAAGGGCAGATAAATGCTTCCCAGATAAGGTCAAGTTAAAGGAGTTCATCATCACCCAACCCTTATTATATGAAATGTTAAAGAGACTTACCTAAGAAAAAGATTTAAAAATATGAACAGCAAAAAACTACCAACTGAACCTAAAAAAAAGCAAAAACAAAAACCAAGCAAACAAATAGGACAGGGACAGAATCACAGAAATGGAGATCATATGGAGGGTTATTGGTGGGGAGGGGAAGGGGAAGAATGGGGGAAAAAGGTACAGGGAATAAGCATAATTGGTAGGCACAAAATAAAGAGGTTAATAGTATAGGAAATGGAGAAGTCAAAGAATTTATATGTACAGCCTATGGACATGACCTAAGGGGGTGTGTGTGGAATGCTGGAGGGGTGGAGGGGTGCAAGGCAGTGGGGAAATAAAGGGGAGAGACAATGGCACAACTGTAATAATCAAGCATAATCAATAAAATATATTTTAAAAACCTCAAGGATATTAGTAGTAGTTCTTAAAGACATTTTTTACCTTCTTCATGGTCCCACTTTCTTCCAGTTTTTTCTTTTCTCCCTGTGTTTGTTTTGACCCTTTTCACTTTGAAGAATTTCTCTAATGCCTGTTTGTACATATGGGGACACAAAGAAGCTGACTGGTAGCAATTGGTTCCTGTGAGGATTTGTTCATGGTGGCATTTCTGAAGTTGTACTGCTTTCTTGGGGAACCCCCAGTGTCGCCTATTATAGTCTTCACAGAAGAATCTTCTAACCTTCTGGCTGGCTGCCACCACTCAGGTAGCCAAGTGAGGGGACAGGACAGATTCTGATTATAAACTTTCATGTTACCCTCTGTATCAGTCATGTTTCAGGGAGTAAGTATACATGGATATAGAGACCTTTAAAAAATACTCCAGGGCTAAGGAAGAGTACTAAAGGGAGACACAAACTTCTAAGAGGATCTCCCAGCCCACATCTGGGACTCAGATTTTATTGACAAAGGCATGGCTGCAGCTATTGCATAAATTTGCTAAGTTGACTGAATTACAGCTGAACAACCAAGCAAGCAGGAGGTGTCTCTCTGGGGTGACTTCACCCTGAGCCTGGCCACAGAAAACCATGATTGGGACTGGGAAGACACCGCACTGGGATACAAGTGGGCCAAGGCTGGCAAATCCCCCCAGAAGACAGATGGGCAGGAAGCACCTCTTCATAAGGCTGGAGGACAGGCCTGCCCCGGGAAATCAGAACTTTGGGAGCCTACCTGACAGCCAGGAAGACAGTCACAGGACCATGGTCGTGAGCTCAGTATGGGACTATGTACATTGGGGTTGTGTGTCACTGGATGTCCCCTGTCCCACCACACACCATTGATAACTGGATAGTAATATTGAGAAGCAAAATGAAGCATACCAGAGGTAAGAAAGGAGAAAAGAAATGCTTAAAATCCAGCTCATTATAATAGTGTACAGGCAACTTTATTAGCTTGCTAGGGCTGCCATAATGAAGTACTACAGCCTGGATGACACAACAGGAATGTATGGGCTCACAGTTCTGGAGGCTGGAAGTCCGAAATCAGGGTGTTGTCAGGGTTGGTACCTTTTGAGGGTTGTGAGGATTGGGCCTCTCTTCATGGCTTATAGATGACCTTCTGCCTCTTCACATCCTCCCTCTCTGTGTTTGAATCTTTTTTATGAGGATCGGTTATACTGGTTTAGGCCCACCTTGATGACCTTCAACTTGATTATCTCTGAAAAGACCCTATCTCCACATAAGGTCCTTGGGGTTAGGACTTTAACATATGAAGTTTGGAGAGGCACAACTCAATCCATTATAGCAATGAAGGGTGGATTTGGAGGTGAGGCAATGAATTGGTAACTGGCACACTCACTGTTTTCAATATTGTCCCACCCTCACTGTTCTGGTGTTTTCCAGCCTATGGACCCTCTATCTTACCCATTCTAGAGAAAAAGACATGTTTATGCTGAGATGTTTAGGAAGCAACTGCTAGGCTGTAGTACTGAAGAGGTTGTCTGGGGGTTAAACTGAGCATCCTAAGTAGATTGTCAAATAATCTTTTCAGCTCCTTCCACTCAAACTTTGAGGTATCTTACATCACATTCATGAACATTAGGGGATTCTATGGAGGCATTTTGGGTTGCTTCCTGCCACTCCCTGCTGCAGACTTGGAAATCAGATTTCTGGGGCCTGCTGTTTTGCTGTCATTTTTCCAGGATATCACTGTTGACTTTATGCTTTATATATTATTAAATAAAGCCTTTATTAAATTGTAAAGGTAATTCAGGGGCTATCCCTTATGCTTTTTACCCAGTTTCTCCTAATGTTAACATACACCACTGGCCCTTTGTAAAAACTAAGAAATTCACTGGTGTATTACTATAAACAGACTTCACTACTTTCCCACTGATGTCTTAGTGTTGCAGGATTCCACATTGCATTTATCTCTAGTTTTTGACTGTCTTTGCTTGTTTTTCACAACCTGACACTTTGAGAGAGTACTGGTCAGGCACTTGTACAATGTTCCTCTATTTGGTTTGCCTGTTTTCCTCATGCTTAGTCTAGGATTATGGGTTAAGGGGAAGAATGCAGTAGTGAAATGTCCTCATCACATATTTGAGGAACAAGATATCCATATGTATCACTGGTGACGTTAACCTTTACCACTTGGTTAGATACAAAGTTTGGTGCTGGCTCTCTTGTAAGGCAAGGCTGACAACTGATAAGGCTGTTGCTATAGATTTGCTGATCGCAATGCAGGTAAAATTCTACCCCCACACTATTATCATAATGGCTAACAGAACACAATGTTTCAGAGAAACATAGATAGGCAGCCAACAATGGTGTTATTGAGCATTTATCACATCAATGATGAAAGACAAAGATCATCAGTTGCCCTAATTTTTTAAAAAGTTTTTATTTATTTTTAGAGAGGGGAAAAAACATCAACGTGAGAAACATCGATGAGTTGCCTCTCTTATGCACCCTGCAACCCAGGCACGTGCCCTTACTAAGAATCGAATTGGCCACCTCTTGCTTTGCATGACTCTGCCCAACTGAGCCACATTGGTCAGGGCCAGCTGTCCTAATTTAAAGTCATGACTCCTTGCCTAGTAAGCCAAACCAGTTTTCTAGCCCAGAACAGTGAAGAAGCTAGATCCCCAGGAGGAAGTTCTTTGCAACACAGAAAATAGACTATAACATTCCCCCCAGTTCTGCCCCCAAAGTAATCATGGCCTTTTACTTGGGTAACCATACATTTAAGGGAAATACCCAGATACCTGAGGACCATTGGACAGGGGGGGTCTAAGCTGACATCAATACCCAGAGATCTGAAGCGTCATCATGGTGGCAATGTGGGGGGGGGGGAGGTACAATAATAAATGAAGTGCTGACCAAGTTATTCATGTATATGCTCACATGAGAAGTGTATACTCTCTGTGGACTCACCTGGTGGTCATTTGTCTCCTTACGTATAACTACATTGACATACTTAGTAACTGCCATGACTTCTCACATGAATCTTTAGCCTGTGGGACACAGTCTGTCAAGAGGCCATAGGGAAGCCCCTGCAGCTACTGTGCGGCCGCTTCTCACACTGCCAGCCAAGAGTAAATGTGCTTATCAGACTACAAGAGCCAAATGCAGGTCAAAGTCAAAGATAGCAGTCAACACATATGTACAATAGTGCAGACATCTGGTCATCCCACAGAACGTCACACTGACGCCATTTAATGTACAGCTGGATGAGCCGCAAGTGGCCGGCATACCAGAGGCCCTAGTAATGTAGAGTGTGGGGGATAAACCTGGAGACTCTAGTTAAACTCCAGAAAAGAAAAAAAAAATTACTTGCGGGTTTATAGAGCACACCTAAAACCATATTAATAAAAACCAAGCAAACAAACAAGGGACAAAATGCATAGCTAACTGGTTACCACTGGAAGATAGTGAAGCAACTCATTTTGAAACTCACAAATGGAAAAAATCAAGCATTTATCTTATTTTTCCTCTATAAGCTATACCACTAAGTAGCCAAATAGTGGATGAGGGCAAGTTTCTCTACTGCAGCTAACAATGAAAGAATGATAGAATTGAATACTGCCATTCTTTAACCTTTAATAAATTGATGAATTAGGCTTTCTAGAACAATGTTGGCTAAATCCAATGAGACAATTAGACATTATGTGCCACATAATGGAAGACCACCACCAGTTGTAAGGTAATACTAGCACCACCACCACCCCCACCCAATGAAATCAAACAAAAATATGAATCTGATTAAATCTGTGAATCCAGAAACAAAAAGTCACAGGAAGCACCGTACGGGCAAAGTATGTTGAATGATATCAAAGGAATGCAATCAGGAAAATCTGGGAAACTGTAGGACAACTAACCTTATTCTCTCTCTTCATAGATTAATTGTAGGGAGAAAAGTAAAAAATAGACAAAGGGAACTCAATTGTAATATATAGATTTTAATTGGATTATGATTCAAACAAACTGTTTACAAAAACTGAAATTTTGTTTAGGAAATTGTTTATGAATAAAAGCATATGGTATCTGAAATTGCTTCAAAATAATATGGAGGCGTTTGCACAAGAATGGGTTATAAGGGAAACAAGATTAGTCATGACCTGATAATTGTTGAAACTGAATGACAAGTACTTGGAACTTCATTATTTATTGTAGGCTTTCATGTATGATTAAAAATTTCCACAATAATTTTAAAATACAAAAAAAAACCCAATCATAGCTAGATTTAGGAAGTTGTTCTTTAAGCTTTCTCCACCTAGACCTGAATGATCATTGAGAAAGTAATGAAAAACAAACTTTAACACTTATGTTAATAAATCAGGCTTAGATGAAAAAAGAACAGGTAAACTACACTAAAGTGAAGTAACATAGTAAGACTGATAATTCATTTCTAGTTCTCAATCCTTCAGCCTACATATTTAATACCAAATGTCCAAAGAATATGCAACACATTAGGAAAGTATACATGAATGACATATTAGTCATTATTCTGTCAAAACAAAAGGCCACTGAGTATAAAAGTCAACCTAATATTTTATCAAGTAAGTTTTTAAAAAGTCATTACATTTCAAAAAAAATTTCCTCTTTATTTTAACATAAAACACATTTACAGCATGCAGGTTAAAGTAAAAATTAAAATTATATGTTGTCTCCCCAAACCAATGTATCTCCAAGAACTGAAAATAAATCAACATATTCCACAAGTAGACTCATATTCTACTATCACCTCATGTCAAACTAAGTTATGCACACTAGTTTTCTTAAGTTAGGCAAATAATTTAATTGATCACCATGAATAAATATTACTTTTATTTTACTGAGTTTATCATCTGACCTGTTTATCAATAGCATTCAGAGAAACATTAATATATTCAGTCAAAAAAAGGATACTGCAAATTGAAATGTTTCGATTTTCTAGATGATCAGAAATTTTCATTTGTAAGAGTTAATGCTATTGTTTAATAACCTATGGCAAAAAGAGCAGTTCACTGAAAACAAACTTATGAAATTCTCTGTACACCTTATGAAAGTTTGAAATTATAAATAGAAAAAAACATTGAGATATTTTTAAAAACCTAACATTGTATATACCCTGAACTACACGTTAGTTACAATTCACTGTTACACAGCACCAATACCAATACCCATGATACATAGAACAAGAAACTACCATACTCAAGACATGAGGGAAAAAAAATTCTGCTTCATTTATAGATACTGCCAAAGAAGCAAGTTTTCATTTGAAAGCAAAATATAAATGTCTATGTGAATACAGCCAAACATTTCTCATTTTAGAAAAGTACCATCATAAATAATAAGCTGTAGTACTTTAAAAAAAAATTTAAGTTAACTGCATTATTTCAATCTTGTTGTACCAAGGTTTCATCTAAATTTTTGGAGTATTTATTTTGATCAATCCTAAAGGCAACACAATTATTTTAAAGGTTGTAGACTACAACAGCAAAGATTTCTGACTGTTACAAAAATAAATAAATTTATCTTTTAAATCAAAAATTATATAAAAGTGGAAATTACAATAGTTGACATAGAAAAATAAGCCAATGATAATCTGAGTCTTCTGATGATGGCTCCAAATTTATTACAAATATCTGTATATAAAACTTCTTTAAAAAGTTAATTCTGCCAGTCAGATCCTAACACAGAACTTCTGAAGTTTTTCTACTAACTGAATGCCCTTATATCCCCACATTCTCTGCAAATTTATGACATGGTTGCAGTCACCACCCCATTGATAAAGCATATTGAAATCACCTCCCCTATTACTTTTATAGCTTTGTAAAGCAAACTGTTGACTTAGTTTAATGGTCTTAAGAAAGTAGAGGCAAAAACAGGCACACTAAGTTCTAACTATAAAATTAAAGGTTATAACCAACAAAATAACTTATTTGTGGATTAGTAACTTGCAAACAATTAACTATTTCTAGGCAAAACAATAAATTATAGTGTACGACAGTGCTGTAGGTTAAAAACACCTCAAGGATTTTATACCAAATTTTACCTATGTATACATAAATTCATCATATACTTGTCCAGTTCTTCCATGTGTTTTTTTGTTTCCACAGGCTATAAATTTAGATAAACCAATATAGTACTAACAATATAAAATTATGTTTAGTCCTATTTTAATTCATTATATTAAACAGACAAATTATATGTGTTCAATTCTTAATAATTAGCTGGCAGACCAGAATGAAGCAGGGTATTTTCATTCCACCAAGTTATGTTGATTATAGAAGTGAGAAAAAGGGAAGCCCAATTCCTCTCCAACTGTTAATCTGAAATTTGTTTTTGATACTGTAAAATACATCTATTCAAGAAAATCGAACAATAGGCATTTCATAAGATAACAATTGAGTAGCCATGCTCAATTTCAAGTGCCTACTTAAGCAGTTTTAAGGTTTCAGTGTTCAAATTGTAGTTTCCAGAAGCAAACAATAAAGATATAAATAATTTTGACTCTGAAATCATTTCAAGGGATGTTAAAGTACAGTACTGACCTGATATACTTTGTGAGCACGTAGTGTGTAAGTGGTAAAATTTAAGACATATAACCTAAATGCTTCATCTCCTCTAAAATAAGGAAGCTACTTTAAGAAAAATAAGCAGTAGCAGCTAGGTAACTTAAGATAAAAAAATAAACACATACAAACAAACAAGTACAAAAAACACAATCCTATATTGTACAGTTAGCTTGGCACAATGAAGACTAAATTAAGACACAAAAGACAAACTGTGTAATAAATAGGACCACAGTTGTAAACTCATTTTCCTCTCCTATGACGCCAAAATTGCACTCTAGTTGTGTTGGGAAGCAGCAGAATTTACAAGAAAGTGGGCAGGAAACAGCTTAACAGGCCAGATATAATTTACAGATTTTAAAAAGTTGTAGTTCTACAATTACCAGGAGTAAAGGTTAGTCACTGAATGACTCTGCTTGATATTATATACTCTTCACACTTCAATTATTGTCAGCATCTGAAAATGGGAGAATGCATAGAAAAAATATTTTTTATTTGTATAAAACCTGTGTTTGAAATAATCATGAAAGGAATAAAGTAAATAAAACACACCACTATTTTAAAAACATTTTGGCCAACAGCTTTGACCAATTCTGCTAAAATTAATTAAATGTCAACAATAAATTATTTTTATTTTTTCTCCTTCAATTTACCTCCAAGTAGAGCTATTAATGAGCAGTACAATGTTTAAAAAGGTCAGTCCTTCATTTATTTCTATTCTTCCCAAGAGAGCCTGTGGGTAAGCTGATGTATGAATTATATATTTTTTAAAAGATTTTATTTATTTTTAGAGAGGGAAAGGGAGGGAGAGAGGTAAACATCGAAGTGTGGTTGCCTCTCGAGGACCCCCAACTGGGGACACGACCCACAACTCAGGCATGTGCCCTGACTAGGAGTGGAACCTGAAGACACTTTGGTTCGCAGGCCGGCACTCAATCTACTAAGCCACACCAGCCACGGCCAATGTACAAATTTTATTAAAAAAAAAAAAAAAAAAGAAGAAGATAGAAAGCAGCAGACAGTGTAACATTCTTAAAGATAAGGACCATTAACTAGCAATGTTATATACATGTTACCTATAAAAAAAAGAGGGAGGAAAAGAAGGGCAAGGGATAAAGATACGTAAGAGATATATATGGTAGGAAAATAAACAACTAATGAACAATTTTAGTAGTTGTTACCTGGAAGATTCCTTGTATTAAACTACTTACCTATGTGTTTAGAAAAACTCAACTTTCAAAGCACCATATGTTGCCATGTACAATGTGCACTTTTTTGGTCCATATTTTTGAGGGAAAAATCAGGATGCACATTATACAGGGGCGTAGAACCTGAAATACTTTATATCTGTTCTTGTGTTTTGTAATTATGTTACATAATTAACATATTATACCAATAAATGCTAAAAATCCTTTATAACACCCCCCCAAGAATCTAAATGTAAATAAATAAAAAGCTGAATTAAAATATTAAAATGAAGGGCCTGCCTAGTGTAGCTCAGTGGATTGAGCATGGGCCTGTGGGCCTGCGGGCCTGTGAACCAAAGGATCGCAGTTTGATTCCCAGTCAGGACACATGCCTGGCTTGCAGGCCAGTTCCTAGCAGGGGACTCAGGAGAGGCAACCATACATTGATATTTCTCTCCCTCTCTCCTTCCCCTCTTCTCTAAATATAAATAAATCAAATCTTAAAAAAAAAAAAAAAATTAGAGGGACTTCCGCCAAGATGGAGGCATAGGTGGAGACGCCGTGCCTTCTCACACAACCAAGTTTAGAGACAACTGAATATTAGCAACAGAAAACACAGCCAGAACACAGAAAATTGAACTTTTCGGAAGTCTGTAAACAACAAAATCTTCAGCCTGATCGGGAAGGGGCGAAAACAGCAGCTGGCTGAGCCGGGTAGCACAGGAAAACCCGGTCAGACGGACTCAGGCGCGCGGAATCCAGGCGCAGAGTTGGACCTAGTGAGAGACCCAGCGACTGCAGGGAAATAGCGAGGGAGCAGGGCTGCGGGTTGACTGTGGTTGCGCATTCGTGCGTGGACAGACAAGTGAGGGAGTGGGCCATTGGACCGGGACCGGGACCCGGACCCAGCAGGTCCCCACAGCAAGCAGCAGCAGAGGGCAACGCCATTTCCCCGCTCTGACCATGCCCCCACATACAGCGTCACAACCCAGCGACCTGAGAGTCCAAGGCTCCGCTCTTCATACTTAACGGGCTCAAACAGACCAAAAATGGCTCAAGAAGAACTCAAAGCCCCAGAGCCTATAAATCTAAGCGATGAAGAAACACCAAAACTCTCAGACACACAGTTTAAAACACTGGTGATCAGGATCCTCACAGAACTGGTTGATTATAGCCACAAATTAGAGGATCATATGAAGGCTAAACTAATTGAAATGAATGGAATTGCACAGGAAACCAATAGTGATGAAAAGGGAACTGGGACTCAAATCAATGGAGTGGACCAGAAGAAAGCAAATAATGGCCAAACAGAAAAGAGTCAAGAAGCAAGAATTCAAAAAAATGAGGAGAGTCTTAGGAACCTCCAAGACATCTTTAAACGCCCCAACATCCGAATTATAGGGGTACCAGAAGGGGGAAAGGAACAGCCACCAGTGGAAAACTTATTTGAACAAATAATAAAGAAGAATCTCCCCAATCTGGCAAAGGAAATAGACTTCCAGGAAATCCAGGAAGCTCAGAGAGTCCCAAAGACATTGGACCCAAGAAGAAACACACCAAGGCACATCATAAGTACATTACCCAAGATTAAAATGAAGGAGAGAATCCTAGAAGCAGCAAGAGATAAGGGGACAGTCACCTACAAAGGAGTCCCCATCAGACTGTCAGCTGATTTGTCAAAAGAGACCTTACAGGCAAGAAGGGGCTGGAAAGAGGTATTCCAAGTCATGAAATCTAAAGACCTACAACCAAGATTGCTCTATCCAGCAAAACTTTCATTTAGAATGGAAGGACAGATAAAGTGCTTCTCAGATAAGATCAAATTCAAGGAGTTCATCATCACCAAGCCCTTATTATATGAAATGTTAAAGGGACTTACCTAAAAAGAAGTTAAAAAAACATGAACGGTGAAAGGACAGCAAACTCACAGTTATTAACAACCACACCTAAAACAAAAGCAAACTAAAAGGACAGCTAGATCAGGAGTGGAAACATAGAAATGAAGATCTCAAAGAGGGTTAGCAAAAGGGGAGTGGGAGGAGGACAAGGGGGGAGAAGGTACAGAAAATAAGTAGCATAGACAGTAGATAGAAAATAGATGGGGGGGCAAGAATAGTATGGGAAATATAGAATCTAAAGAACTTCGAGACACATGGTCATAAACTAAAGGAGGGGTAATGGTGGGGACGGGGGGTAGGGTGGAGGGGAATGAAGGGGGGGAATAGAACAACTAATGGCATAATCAATAAAAAAATAAATTAAGAAAAAAAAAGAACAAGAATCTGGAATTCAAAAAAAAAAAATTAAAATTAAAATTAAAATGAAGGATTTTTCCCCTGTAAGTTTGGGCCAAAAATGTGGGCATGCATTATACACTGGAGCACATTGTACATGGCAAAACACAGTATTATGTAAGCTAGAAGACCGGCATGTACAGCTGGGTACTAAAGGTATCAGTATTATTAATATATTTCCATTGTTCCCAAGAATAAACCCAGTGTTTTGTAATGTTTTTCTTGATAAATAAAAGACGAATTTAAAAATTTCTCTACAAGGCTTTAACTTTTTCATTATTTTATCACTTAAGTAGATCGTATGCTCCTCAATGATAGTTTAAGACTGACTAATAGATGTTAAGAGTTAAAAAAATAGTAACTACTATCTCTGGACCAGCAATGAGACAAATCTGTAAACTTTATACTTTCGTAATTACTTCAGGTGTTGAAAACCTAGGTTAGTAAGGTTAGCTGTCTCCCTCAAGGGCTCAACTGCTGTATTACACTAGCATTCTATTTTTTTTTTTAGCATTCTATTTTTAAGCTAAAACCCAACTGTATTTAATCAAGGCCATGATGTATCTTCTCTACAAATGAGATATAAATTCAAAGTTTAATCTGAGCACACTATCCAAAAAAAAAAGTTCTCATCTATATTTTTGTTTTAAAAAGCCCCTTGCTCATCCAGAAAAACACCTGCTCTGTACTAGGTAAAGGAGCCTCATCCTTGTTTGTATCAATCAGCCAGTGTTAAAACTGGTTTCACCGTTTTTTTGCTTGAAGTCACAGAACCTACTGATGATGTTTAGTGAGAACTTACTGTATTTCAAAGGGGAAAAACAGAGACCATCCCTAACTGGCAGGAAAACTGGTTAAAGTTGTAACTACTAATATAACACATATTACTTACCATGTAGTCTTGTTAAAAATGTTTGTGCTGAGCCCTGGCCAGTGTGACTCAGTGGACTGAATAACAGCCTGTGAACTAAAGGGTCACCATTCCCAGTCAAGGCACATGCCTGGGTTGCAAGGCCAGGTCCCCAGTGGGGGGCGTATAAGAGGCAACCACACACTGATGTTTCTTTCCCTCTCTTTCAAAATAAATAAATAAAATCTTAATTTTTTTTTTAATCTTTAAAGGGGAAGGGAAGGAGAGAGGGAGAGAAATATCAATGTATGGTTGCCGCTCGTGTGTCCCCCACTGGGAACTGGCCTGCAACCCAGGCATGTGCCCTGACTGGGAATCGAACCACAATCCTCTGGTTCGCAGGCCCGCACTCAATCCACTGAGCTACACCAGCCAGGGCAATAAAATCTTTTTTTAAAGAATGCACTGAATCTAATAAATGTTTTCAATATATAGAGAATAGAGGAACACAGCAATTACATATAGAAACAATCAAACATACCCAGAAGGTAGCATATGCCAAAAATAACCAGCCTAGTCTCTTAATTATATCAATGTTAACAAAAGGTGGATAATGCTAGATTAAAAGAGACTTAAGGGATAAAACCAAATACAGACAGTAGCCCTAAATTTTATGTTGGTTTAAACTAGCAATTTTTAACAAGTGTGCTGTAAGAATTTTTAAAATGTGCACTACTGGACTATTTAGTCACGGGCACCCACCTATTCTCCTTAGATGGTCAAATAAAAAAATGACAACAGCCAACACAATAATAGTTGTCTGCTGTGAGTGAATCAAAATTATACCTATTTTTTTTGAGATTGGCAAAAAGTATTTTTTTGTGTGCTGCAGAATTTTAGTGATTAGTTTACGTGTGCCATGAGATTTAAAAAGTTGAAAATTGCTGCTTTACACAATCCAGTGCTTTAGAACTTTAAAAAGAGAAATCCGAATATAGATTTGTATTAGATAATATTAAAAATGTTTTCAGTTGTTAGTTGTTTAACAATATATTGCTGATCTTATTGTGACTATAAAGAAAAACGTTGTTTTAGAGAGACTTCCGCCAAGATGGAGGCGTAGGTGGAAGCACTGTGCCTCCTCCCACAACCAAGTTTAAAAACAACAAAGTTTTAGCAACAAAAACGCAGCCAAAACCACGGAAAATTGAACTTCACGGAAGTCTGACAACAAGGAACCCTTCAGCCAAACCAGCACAGGTCAAAACATGGCTCAACAAGAAGCCCCAGAGCCGATAAATCTAAGCGATGGAAATAGCCAAACTTTCAGATGCACAGTTCAAAACACTGGTGATCAGGATGCTCACAGAACTGGTTGAGTTTAGTCACAAATTAGAGGAACATATGAAGGTTAAATTAAGTGAAATGAATGGAAATGCACAGGAAACAATAGTAATGAAAACGAAACTGGGACTCAAATCAAAGGAGTGGACCAGAAAGAAGAAAAAAATGACCAAACAGAAAAGAATGTAGAAACAAGAATTCAAAAAAATGAGGAGAGTCTTAGGAACCTCCAGGACATCTTTAAATGCTCCAACATCCGAATTATAGGGGTACCAGAAGGGGAAGAGGAACAGCCACAAATGGAAAACTTATTTGAACAAATAATAAAGGAGAATCTCCCCAATCTGGCAAAGGAAATAGACTTCCAGGAAATCCAGGAAGCTCAGAGAGTCCCAAAGACATTGGACCCAAGACGGAACACCCCAAGGCACATCATAATTACATTAGCCAAGATTAAAATGAAGGAGAGAATTCTAGAAGCAGCAAGAGATAAGGGGACAGTCACCTACAAAGGAGTTCCCATCAGACTGTCAGCAGATTTCTCAAAAGAGACCTTACAGCCCCTTCCAAGAAGGGGCTGGAAAGAAGCATTCCAAGTCATGAAATCCATACACCTACAACCAAGACTGCTCTACCCAGCAAAGCTTTCATTTAGAATGGAAGGACAGATAAAGTGCTTCTCAGATAAGATCAAACTCAAGGAGTTCATCATCACCAAGCCCTTATTATATGAAATGTTAAAGGGACTTACCTAAGAAAAAGAAGATAAAAAATATGAACAGTGAAAGGACAGCAAACTCACAGTTATTAACAACCACACCTAAAACAAAAGCAAACTAAGAGGATAGCTAGATCAGCAGCAGAATCATAGAAATGAAGATCACATGGAAGATTAGCAACAGGGGAGTGGGAGGAGGAGAAGGGGGGAGAATGTACAGAAAATAAGTAGCATAGACAGTAGGTAGAAAATAGATAGGGGGAAGGGCAAGAATAGTAGGGGAGACATAGAATCTAAAGAACTTGAGACAAGTGGTCATAAACTAAAGGGGGGGAATGGTGGGGGAGGGGTGTGCAAGGTGGAGGGGAATGAAGGGGGGAAATAGAACAACTGTAATGGCATAATCAATAAAATATATTTAAAAAAAGAAAAATGTTTTAGAGAGACATTCAACAAGTTATGAATATCAATAGTTGAAACATTTTCATTTAAAAGTTATGTAAATAAAGCTCCTCTTCTTGGTTTTTTAAAAAATATTTTATTTATTTATTTTTAGAGAAGGGATAGAATGGAGAAAGAGAAACATCAATGTGTGGTTGCCTCTTGAGTACCCCTCACTGGGGACCTAGCCACAACCCAGGCATGTGCCCTTACTGGGAATTGAACTGGAAACCTTTTAGTTAGCAGGCCAGCACTCATTCCACTGAGACACACCAGCCAGGGCTAAATAAAGCTCTTCTATATTCATAAAATATTGGCTGGTTTTTCTAGATGATATTTATCTTTTAGATAAATATCTTCTATTGTAATAGCTTTTAATTCTCTACAAGGAACAGATATTACTTATATTAATTAAAGACAAATACATTAAAGAACTCATACATTTGTTAGAAAAAATTTACTCCCAATAGGTAATTTGAAAAGGACAGAGAAATAACTCATAAAAAATAAAATACAAGTGGGCCAATAAATACATGAAAAAAAATCCAACTTCATCAACAGAGCAATGGAATGCTTATGCTGGCCTATTACATCAGAAGCTTAAAAACTATTAATACTCAATGTTGGCAAAGATTCAACAAAATGAACAGTATTCTAGGCTAATTAGGCAGTTTGGTGCAATCTTTCAAGAGCCTTAAAATGTTCACATTTTCTTATAATTTCACTTTGGAAATCTTAAAAAATAATCTAAAAGGGCGTAAAAGGGATTTTTCCATACTTCAAATTTCATGTAAGAAATTTCAATTTTGGAAAATTTCAAGTATGGAAAAAATTAACATATTTATATACATGTTCCGTAAAATGGTTATAAACTATGGCTTATGTACTAGACAGAATAGAAGTATCTTTTTTTAAATGACCCAATGTTAGCTTTAGCTGGTATTGCTCAGCAGATTAAGTGCTGGCCCGTGAACTGAAAGGTCCCAGGCTCGATTTCTGGTCAGGGCACATGCCTGGATTTCAGGCTGGGCAGGTGATCGATGTTTCTCTTACACATCAATGATTCTGTCCTTCTCTTTCACCCTCCCTTCCCCTCTCTCTAAAAATAAATAAATAAAAATCTGAAAAAAAATAAAAATAAAAAAGACCCTATGTTAAGAACACAAATTTTAAATATACAGTATTGCATATATCTATGTGATTTATGAAAAGACTAGAAATGTGCCAAGTTACTTTTAAAATTACATACATTAAAAATATCAAGACACTAACATAAGAATAAAAAAAAAAGTGTTTTAACGACCAATGGTTGAACATTCCCACTTATAGCTATAATTCTAAAGCCAGATATAAAGCACAAACCTGTAGTTAATGTGTTATCGCTTACACCTGTTTGCCTCCTCCACCTCGTACTGCCACTGGCTGGCTGTTCTGAATAAATGCACCTCCTCCACGAATTGCACTTGGATGAGTTGGAGAAGCTGCTGGATGTTGCCCAGGACGAATAGGTTTAGCTAATACAAAAACCAAAAACTGGCTTTAGAATAAATCTTAACACATGACTGTAACAACTTTTTAGGTCTTTTCTCTTTACTTACAACAAATTAAGTGCCCCCCCCCCCCGTGATCTTTTGTTGTTCATTAGATTCCTCTTTTCTGTTACATACTTTTTTCTCTAGCCTCTTAGATACTTTATTACTACCTCAATCATTATTCTGGAGCATGGAATGTTGCTGGTAACTTACTGTTAGCAAATTCTTTTTGTTTTAATAACACTGCTTGGTAGAGTTTATCTCCTACCCCTGATCATTCTTGCTTGTCTAGTTCTCATCTTCTTGTCCTGTTAATGTGGTTATTCCTCAAACTTTGTGCTGCTCTCCCAACAATGCCACTTTTTGGCAAGTTAGACAATAAAAATAGATACATACCACCATTACAATACATAATTAATGAATCAGATATGTTTTCAAGTAAATAAAAACATTCTAACCAAATGAGGTTTCAAGGTTTTCATGTGGTCTACTAACCAATTTGTGCAGAATGTCCTCTTCTGGCCATATTCTTTGACCTGACTGCTTCCTTTATACGATCTACTTCTTGCTGATAGCGTTTGCGATCACGAGATGCATTTTCTTTGGCTTCTTTCAGTGCTGACTCCAGAGCTTTCACTCGCTCAGCTGTAGCTCTCAGCCGCTTTTCCAACTTAGGAAGTTCACAGCGAAGATCTGCATTATCACGTACCAACTAAAAACACATAAAGAAAATTAGGATTCTAGTTTTAACAAGATGATTTGAGAAACTATGCACAGTTTATTTCTCTTTAGAAAAGAAGTAAAACTACATTTTACACAAAGGTTTGCCAATTAGCTAATTTAATTTAGGCAAGGTCAAGCATGACACACTTATATATCTATATACATGTATTTCTCATAAAGATACAATTTCATTTAGGTTTTTTTGGGGGAGAGGGCTGTTCTTTCCCCCTACTAGGTAATGACAGTAAGTTAAAACACAGTACTAAGTCCCTCAGACCCACAAATACACATTCAGTTTGGCGGGGTCCTTAATAACACTGTTGAAAGCAAAAAGGACTAAAATTTCTTTAACCTTCCTTTAGTGCAAACATCTAGTGTAAACATCAGGTTTACAATAATAAAGATATACAATTTAGTGCACTAAAAAGTTTTGTAATTAAATCATTTATCAAACCATTAATTAAAAGACATGGTAAGCACTACTTTTTAAAAAATATGAACTGCATCACGATATTATGTTTCATGCTAAGGGCATTAAATGTAAAAGAACAAAAAAAAATGTATTTCCACTGCAAAGACTTACCTACCAGAGAATTTTAAATCATGAATCAATTAAGAAAGCCGACAGACCTAAATACCAGAAAGGTTTCCATTGGCCTCTTTTGATAAAAGTGTTGTTAAAAATTGCTAGTGGTTAGGCCCTGGCTGGTGTAGCTCAGTGGATTGAGCACGGCCCTGCAAACCACATGATCACGGTTCGATTCCCAGTCAGGGCACACGCCTGGGTTGCAGGCCAGTTCCCAGCAGGGGACTCACGAGAGGCAACCACACATTGGTATTTCTCTCCTTCTCTCTTTCCCTTCCTCTCTAAAAATAAATAAATAAAATCTTTTAAAAAATTGCTAGTGGTTTCTTTTATATTAAATACTTGAAAAATAATGAAATAGCTCAGAGTATATAAATTCAAAAAATTGCCACTCCCCATTCTTCTAAAATTCTTACAATGTTAAGGGTATCACAAAATATATCCTTTATTACCTGTTTGTGCACTTTAGTGAGTTGTTCAAGATTATTTTCAAGGAAAGAGATTTTTTGCTTCTGAGCAGCACTGCCTCCAGTGTCATCAGAATCGATTTCTGCACTCTAAAGAAAAAAAGGTTGATGAATACTGTGAACAAATTTAAAGATCAAAAATACTCTAATCTTAACTACACAAAAACTGGTATGACAATATAAATTATTTCACTTACGTGTGCAAATAATTATACATACTGTAGGCAGCACTTATACAAATATCCATACCTCAGTATAGTTTTATTACCTTTTTAACTCTGGTGGCCAGGTCCTGAACAAAGAGCTTCCGCAGGTTGTGTAAAGTCTGAAGTTCTTTTGCCTTGAATTAAGAAGAGCAGTATTTTTGGAATTCAGACTTGAAATTTAGTATGATCAAAGGGAAAAAACTCATTAAACATTCCACATGTTAATTTATTTTTAAGTCTCTTACCACTGTCTCTTCCAAACCCTTCAAGTCTTGTCTTGCTTGTTCTCGTCTATCTTGCATAACCCTAAACAGAGGAAGAAGAGACATAACATTTTCAACTATGAGTCCATAAAATTCTAGTTTTACTTAGCACAGAAACTGAAGCAAGTACTTATCTGAATCAATTGTTAAATTCAAATAAATAAAAGATACTTATTTTAAAAGTACACTCAATTATGTCTTTCAAAGGATTTTTTATAATGCCTTACAATTCCTTCTATATCCATTAGAAGAAAGTGATAAAATGTTGCAGCACCTAAATAAGGAGTGGTTCTTATTGATACTTTAGAATATGTCACATATAGCATACTGCTTTTATCCAAAATCTCATTAACTAACTGGTTCTTACAGAGATTATAAGTTATTAAAAATCTACATATTTTACTTAAAATTATTCTATATAAATGATGGCAGATATCAAACCAATGAAGAGGGTTTAAGAAAAACACTCTTTACCCTAAATAATGTATCCACTGGATATATCTTCTAGTATTGCCTGTAATTCTCTAATTCAGTTTTTAATTTTATACTTGAATTAAAACATTTACTCACGTAAGTTCATGTAGTTTTCTACTCTTTTCCTGATCAGTAGCTTTCAACTTCTCATGTTCTACTCTCAGACGTTCCTGCTCCAACATCATTTTCTGGTTTTGACTAATAAAAGAAAACAAACAAACCCCACAACATCAAGACCACCATTTTCTGATTGTTGTCATTAATACTTTTCAAACTCTGAAATTCTACAACCTTATCATTCAAACAACCAGGGCCTCACATGATCCAGCCCACTGCAGGGGGCGTAAGAGGACTTGGCTATGTTCAATTGTACAGTATTTCTCCTATTTTGGTTTGAAATCACAATTTTAGTCTTTTATATCTTTCATCTCCCCAAGTCCTTGTCCCTAAATCCATTAAGATCCACACCTCAAACTTTGTCTTCATTTTTTTCTTACGTGCCTGATTCCTACTCAAATCATGATTTAGGTGCAGACCTCCAATTCCTATCAATTCAGTGCTACTTATGCATATGGTTATGAAAGTGAGAAAATGTATTCGTGATAAATGATGAAGACAACCTTTTTATACTAACGTTTTTATCTCTGAAATAATTGCCTATTAAACCCCTATTATGGGCATTTTAGAAACTGTTTTTCTTGTTCTTTTCTTTTTAAAGATTTTATTTGTTTATTTTTAGAAAGAGGGAAAGCGAGAAAGAGAGAGAGAGAAGTATCAATGTGTGGTTGGTTGCCTTTCGCACGCCCCTAACTGGGGACCTGATCTGCCACCCAGGCATGTGCCCTGACTGGGAATTAAACTAGTGACCCTTTGGTTCACAGGCCTGTGCTCATCACTGAACACACCAGCCAGGGCTGTTTTTCTTGTTCTTTTATTAACTTCTCACATGAACCCTACAAGTTAGGTATTTTTATTCATAGTTTACATGTGGCCATGAGTCTTCAAAGACCTTGCACACAGTTAGTTAATTGGTGGGTAGGTAAGTAGTCAAATTAGGATTTAATCTCAGGCCTGCTTTCATCCACAGCTTTATTTTCCTCCACATGATACCCTAACTGTCATTGAAACCAAAATAGTTTTCTAGGAGTGATATTTTATGCAACTGATAGGTAATGTTCTCCTATGTTGACATCACTCTGTTTTATCCAATCTACCTACAGGTTCATGGACAGCCTGCCCTATGAATGCTTATATGGTTCACATTACATCCTAGTTCCAGGAGTGAATGTGGTTTTTAGAATGATTCGGGTAGAACTTATTCTCATATTCAGTCTAGGAAAATTGAGTGGTTGTATAAATGTATGAGTTATATATAATTAGTAATCTTAAATTTGGTATTGTAGTTATCTTCAGAGAGAAATCTATTTCCATCAGTGCTGGTTTACAAAGATAACTTCTGTTTAAGAAAATTTAAAGCTCCAATTTCCAATAAAGTTTCTCTCAGTTAAGAATTTTTTTTTTTTTTAAAGATTTTATTTATTTATCTTTAGAGGGGAAGAGGGGAAGGAGAGAGGGAGAGAAACATCAATGTATGGTTGCCTTTTGTGCGTCCCCTGCTGGGAACTGGCCTGCAGGGAACCGGCCTGCAACCCAGGCATGTGCCCTGACTGGGAATCGAACCGCGATCGTGTGGTTCGCAGGCCCGCGCTCAATCCACTGAGCTACACCAGCCAGGGCAAGAATTTTTTTTAAAAGGAAGAAAATGATTTGCAGGAGACTATGGTTTCTATCTGCAATAATGACTAAAGTTGTTTTTTTCCCCCTTTTCCTGAATAGTTACATCAAAAGACCCTAAAATATTTTCATCAGGGACTCAGAAGTTATACTTACAAATAAAAAAGTTATTTTTAAATTCAAAAATTATAATTTCAATGAAAAAATGAAGGTATATCTAGTAAGACTATATTAATCTACCAGTAACCAATTATTTCATTTTGTCTAAACAGTCAATCTTTCTGAGTTAGTTTTTAATATTTAGAGGAAAGAACAGTATACTTACTCTTGAAGATCAGTGATAAGTTTTTCTTTTGCCTCAACTTCATCTCTTAAGCTACTAATTTGTTTTTGATGAGTTTCTCTGTGGCTCTGGATCTGTTGTTCAACAGCTTGCTAAAATTTTGGGGAGAAAAGGATATTAAGTCAGACTAATAAAGATTAATAATAATGAATTAAAGCCATTACAATCCAATTACATCAAACTTGCCTTAACTTCATTTGCAGTCTGAACCTTATTTAAGTGTTCCTTTTCCATTTCATGCACTTTCTCTGTTTGGATAGGGAGAGAAAACAAGAGAGGACATAGACTTAAAGTTCTTCATAAACCCAGGTTTTATGAGGGATGTATTCCTTAGCAGTTCTTGATTTTAGACAATCCAAATGCCACACGATAAATCTTGCTGTTTAAATTAATGACATGTTAACTAAGTACACTTACAGCATTCTGTTGAAATTATGGTTTCCTTTATTTTCTTTACCTAATCCTAGAACATATGGGTTAAGGCATGGTAGGGAAATAAGACAGCTTTCTAAATTCCTATGCCAAAACTGCATGTGTGCATAAACTTCATATATATGTGTAACTTTGGAAATTTGTGGGAAATTCACAAATTGGCTACTTCCATATTCAAACACAACTTTAAAGATGTTTGAAAGCCATACTAAAACATATTATTTATTATTCCAAGTTATCCAGATTCCTACTACTCTCTATCAATGTGAATGTAAGTTTAATACAATTACATGAAAGAACAAATTAATGTAGATGTAACTCATAAACAATGAGAAGTTAGTTAATACCTTGTGCTCGAAGCTGGACTAGTTCTTCACTGAGGGAATCGACAGATTCTTCCAGCTGCCTTTTCTTTTGTTCCACATTTTGAAGGTATTCAGTCAATGACTTAATTTTGGCTTCATGCTTTTGGGGAAAATGTACTGATATGAAGTGGAAAAAAACCTCACACCACATTTTATTGTTATAAATATTTAAACATGAGCAAGTTTTAGCAATGTATATAAACATAATATTCTTCAGGATACGAAATGTTCAGGGGCCAAATTTACATGAAAAAGAATATAATCAATGAAATGGTCACTGCTTCTAAATAACACTTGGAAACGAAGGCAATGAAGGCCAAAAAAAGAGAAATGTTCTTATTTTTTTCTTCATATGACATTACCCTCTTCCTTCTGTCTACAATTCTTATGTTGGTGAATGGCCTCCTCTATTCAGTTGCCAAAATCAGAAAACTGGCCATGCAGTTTTAACTACCCTAGGATTCTTCTAGGTTCTTCAACAGTCACATCAGTCACATCTTTCTAGTGAATCTGTATACTTAACTAAGTTAATCATTCTATAACCCAGTTAAATCGTTCATTTTACTATAATGAAGCTGGACTAGGAAAACTGATCAAATTAACCTTATTTTGTTACTCAGAATAACCTATGGAAGTAAATTTTTCTTGTAACTCATACAATAAATAAAACTTATATGGCTACTCAAAAAATAATAAAGTTTTAATACATACTTGAGAGATACGAAGTTGGCATGCTGCTAACTCCTTTTCATTTTCTTCCATTTTTTTGTTGCTCTCAGTTTGTGTACTTTCTAACTGTTTGCAGCGTTTTACCATTGTTTTTACTTCTGACTTCATCTTGCTAATGTAGAGCCTTGCAACAGTGAATTCTTCATCTATCATGCCAGTTCCCTCAGGCTGCTATGAGAAGATAGTGAAATACAATAGAGACAAAAATGTCCAGTGTGTGTTTACCCAATTAGATTCTAAAATCTTACAACTAAATTAAATATATTTTGATATTACTCAATACTGATAGAAAGCCTAAAGTTTTCCTTTAATTAAATATTGTTTTAATAAAGGGTAAGTAAAATACTTTCATTTTTGGCTTTCGTTCCCTTCCTAACTTAATGCTAATACATGCCTACAAGGAAAAAAGAATGCACAACTAAAAAACAAACAAACCCTGATGCATCGGTCTCTTTCAATATTTTAATTTCTTCTTCGTAGGCCCTTTTCAGTAAATTTACTGTTAATCATGTGTAACTCCAGTTTAAAGCTTAACAAATAAGCCCTTACTGGTGTAGCTCAGTGGGTTGAGTGCTGGTCTGCAAACCAAAGGGTCACTGGTTTGATTTCTAGTCAGGGCATGTGCAGGCCAGGTCCCCAGTGCAGGGGCATGTGAAAAGAAACCACACAATGATGTTTCTCTTCCTTTTTTCCACCCTCCTCCTCTAAAAATAAATATACAAGATCTTAAAAAAACAAACAACAACTTAACATATAAGTCCTGGTTGGGTAGCTCAACTGGCTGGAGCATTGTCTTATACACCAAAAGGTTGTGGGTTCAATTCCTGGCCAGGGTGCATACAGGAAGCAACTGACTGATACTTCTCTCTCTAAAAATCAATGAACATATCCTTAAATGAAGATTTAAAAAATAAAACTTAACAAGTAATGATGTTTAGGTGGCGCAAAAAGGATGACTTTTAAGCTCACCAAGGAGGAACTGTGGTCACTTTACATTCCATAACTTCCATGGGCTTCCCTATTAAAACTCCAGTATAATATTCAATGTCAAAATTAAGTGAAGCTCGAGACAGATATAAAATGACAAGATTATTAAAGAAACTCCAGGAACTAATAAGTCATTATTGTAATATTGCAGAATACAAGGTTAACATACAAAAGTTAATCACTTTCCTATGTACCAGCTTATTTGAACTTGCCATTTACATTAGCACCAGGAAAAAAGAGAAAACACTTAGGTATAAATGTAACATTGTGTAAGATCCATGAGGAAACAAACTATAAAGCTGATGAAATGAAAAACTGGAGGTTTTTTATTTAGATGGAGGTATTCTGCATTCATAGATAGGAAGATAATACTGTTAAAATATCAATTCTTCCCAACTTGATCTATGTATTTAATGTAACCTTAATCAAAATCCCAGCAAGTTATTTTGTGGATATCAACACACTGATTCTGAAATTTATATAGAAAAGCAAAAGACCCTGAATAGCCAACGCAATACTAAAGAGCAAAGTCGGAAGATTAATGCTACCCAACTACAAGATTCACGATAAAGCTACAATAATTAAAATAATGTGATATTGGGAAAAGAACAAATAGGTCATTGAAACACAACAGAGCCCAGGAACAGACACACACAAATACAATCAACTGATCTCCAACGAAGGGGTTAAGGCAATTCAGTGGAGAAAGAATTGTCTTTTCAACAAATCTGCTGGAGCAGGTGGACATCCCCATGTAAAACAATAAACTCTAACAGACTTTATACTTTCCAGAAAAAATAACTCCAAATAGATCATAGAAACATAAATGTAAATGCAAAATCAAAACATTTATAGAAGAAGGCCCTGGCTGGTGTAACTCAGTGGATTGAGTGCGGGCCTGCGAACCACACAATCGCAGTTCGATTCCCAGTCAGGGCACATGCCTGGGTTGCACGCCAGTTCCCAGCAGGGAATGCATGAGAGGCAACCATACACTGACATTTCTCTCCTTCTCTCCTTCCCTTCCCCTCTAAAGATAAATAAATAAAATCTTTAAAAAAAAAGAAATAATAACTTGTTAAAAAAAACATTACAGAAGATAACACAGGAGAAAATCTAGGTGACTATGAGTTTAGAGATGGGGTTTTAAACACAACATCAAAAACATAATCCGCAAAAGAAGAAATTGGTAAGTTAGACTTTGTTAGAATTTCTGCTTTGCAAAAGACACTGTTATGAGAATGAAAAGATATGACATACACTGGGGGAAGCACATGTAAAACACCTATCTAATGAAGAACTTACCCAAAACATAACTCTTAAAACTCAGTAATAAAACAACCTAATTACAAATTAAAACCATGAGATAACACTACACATCTGTCAGAATGGCTCAAAACCAAAAAAATAATGATAGTAAATACTGAGGAGAATGTGAAGTTACAGGAACTCTCACTCACTGCTGGTAAGAATGCAAACTGGTACAGCCACTTTGTGAGTTTCTTACATAGCTAACATAGTCTTAACATACAAGCTAATAATCATACTCCTGGGTATTTTTATCCAATTGAATTGAAAACTTATGTTCTCAGAAAAAGGTGCACATGAATGTTTATAGCAGCTTTATTTAAATTTTAAGTGCCAAAAACTGAAAGTAACCAAGATGTTCCTCAATAGGTAAATGGATAAACAAAGTGGTACATCCATATCATACCATAAACAATCAAAAATGAGCTATCAAGTCACAAAAAGACATGTAAGAAACTTAAATGCACACTGCTAAGTAAAAAAAAGCCAGTTTGAAAAGGCTACATACTGTGTGATTCCAACTGTATAAAATTTTTGAGAAGGCAACACTATTGAGATCTTTTTTAGATCAGTGGTTGCTAAGGGTTCAGGGGAGAGGGATGAATAAAGCATGGGAGATGGCAGAAGATGTTAAAGTGGTAAAACAATTCTGATATTGTAATGGTAAATCTGTATCATGCATTTGTCAAAATCCAAAGAATTGTACACATAAAGAGTGAACCATAATGTAAAAACAGAACAGTTTTACATTAAAACTGTAAAGCAGGGGTTCAGCAGGGTTTAACTGATGATGTTAACAGGAAAAGAATTATGTGCAAATGACAGTAATACTGAGAATCCATGGATTTATTTCTAAAGAACCTATTTGCAAAGCTGACCTGCTTTCAAAATGCAAGTGTGGGAGTCAGGGAACCAATATTCTAATCACTCTGCCACCAAACATAAGCCATTTCCACTTTTTATTTTCTGTTTTTCCCACTTCTAAGAAGAAGCTGTAAATCTACAAAAAGCAAGTTTTGAGTAACATCTTTCTAGTATGCAGTGATATGAAATGAATACAGTTTTCCATCTCTAAAGACTCCTATATAGGTTTAACGTCTCCCACTACTTTGCCATGAAAAGGACAGAACAGAATGTTCAGACTGATGTGAAGAGAGATTAAATCAAGCCACCCAGTATTTAATAATAACACTTTCTTTCTTTCAATGAAGTGAGCTGACATTAAGAAACGACGCATGAACCCTGGCTGGTGTGACTCAGTGGACTGAACGCCAGCCCGCGAACCACAGGGTAGAGGTTCAATTTCTAGTCAGGGAGCATGCCTGGGTTGCAGGCCAGATCCCCAGTAGGGGGGTGCACGAGAGGCAACCACAAACTGGTGTTTCTCATCCTCTTTTTCTTGCTCCCTTCTCCTCTGTCTAGAAATGGATAAATAAAATCTTTAAAAAATGACACAAGGAAAAAGTTACAATTCTTGTCTTCATCAACAGACTTTGAATAACAAATAACAGAAGGAATGTTATGTTCCATACTGAAAACCTTTATTCATTTCCAATTCTTGTTTAACTTGGCTTCTTGGTATGCTCTCACCATAAACCCAAGTATAAATTTGTTCTGTTTGTAACCATAATTAAGCTTTAATCAAAAAGGAGTTCAAATGAACACCTACTGTGACATATAAATCTTTTATGTTACATACATGTTTTTGCAGTTAAGAATCTTAGTTTATCTTTTTGGTCTAAGTTGTAAGTTCTACTAGGTCACTATTTTTTTTTAACAGCATGTCTAGTGATAATACAACCAGTACTATTATCCTTAAAAGAATAAAAAAGAAAAAAGGCATAAGTAAGTGATAACTGATAATTCTGATAACTGATAACAGAGGTTCATGGTGGTATTCTATGTTTGAAAATTTGCATAATAAAATTTAAAGAAAAAAATTAACTAGCAGTGCTTGTCTTTTTCTTTTTAAATAGTTAATGTAACTATAGGCCAATTCATTCATGATTTTACTCCCTGAGCTAATATTCACTGTTGTTCTAATTATATCCTGTCATGTATGATAATCATTAACATAATTCTAAGTGCAAAATATTATAAGATATATGAAGTGCTAAAAAAAATGCTTATGAATGTTCATCTACTTAAATGACCCATTCTCTTCCTGTCTTCTCATCTATTTAAAATAGAGATAATACTATCCATCTACCACACATGATTATTATAAGGATAAGAAAAGAACTTTGTAAAAATAACTAGTTGTAAAGAAAAGTATGAGCTACATACAGAAAAGAACTCTTAATATTGGTTATTACATTTACCTTTACGTCATTATTTCCTACAGCAATTCCTATTTCTGCAAGGTCTTTCAGTAAAGATGCCATCATCTCAGCTGCTCGTTTTTTCTGGTGGTTAGTCATTTCCTTAAGTTTTTGAAGTTCCGCATCTATACTTGCTAAAATTGCCTAGTAGAAGATTCAAAAATAAAGAGTACAGTTAAATCTAGCAGATGAAAATATTAATACAAATATTGACAGGTATTTCAAGTTTTCACTTAATACTCATAAAATTATTACTTTTTGCTCTCATTTTCTTGAACTATCTTGTTCTAGAATAGCTTCCAGTTCAAATATTTCTGACCTAATAAACAATGTAAAGTTGCCACATTGTGCTCCATGAAGAGCGGTAATCAGTATTACCACTCTAGGAAGAGCAATAATTAGTATTACTTCACTAATTATGGAGGCTAGGTAGTTTTTAGCCTTGAAATGGGAAACTTCCAAGTTCATTAGATTCAATTTTCATTTACTGCCATAAGTCTGAGCAGATTAATGTTAGAATGGAATTGACAAATTTCTAGATGGTTGGTATATTTTCTTTACTGTCTATATACCTACTTGGGTAATGTGTCATTAAGAAAACGTGTACTAAAGTATTAAGAAGAAAAAAAAAATCTTACTGATTTTTGATTCAGTTCATCACTAAGTAATTCATATTCCTTAGTTTTATCTTCAACTTCCTGAGACTTCTGATCATAATTGACAGCAAGTTCCTCTAAGGCTTGCAAAACTTCTTTTACTTCTTCTTTAGAGGCATCATTTTCTGCTTGAAGGCGATTCAGCTCAGCTTGCATATTATCCTGATCCCTTCTAGTAGATGCCAGAAGCTATGTGGAAGACCAAAGTCACTAAACATATACAGGTTATTAAAAAAAAAAACCTATCTGCTAAGCAAAACAGGGAAGATATGAGGATGCTACTCAGTGTGCTAACAATTCATTCAACATATTGCAGGGCATTGTGGCTAGACATTTTGGGAGACAGGAAGGAAATAAAAAAATTAAGACTTTGTCACAGAGGAATCTGAGTGAGAAGACAAGAACACAAATAAATAGAATACAACATTAAATGTAACAGCCAGAAATGACGGACAGAGCATAACAAAGTGCTTGGTAGAATAAAAGGAGAGTGGCGGGGGGGGGGATATTTCTGCAGGAAAAGCAGAGGGTATGGAGAAAGTGCCTAGGATAGGCAAATTTTAGTCAAGTACAAATTAATGTAATAGACAAATACATTCTAGGATCATGAACACTGTGCACAGAGAAAGAAAAATGAATGCATGTTTAGAAAATTTTCCTTAAAGTTTAGATTTTGGGGGGGCAATGTGGGGTGCCCCCCTTGTTGGGGGGCTATGCCTCAGGAAAACTTAGTATCAGCATATAAAATCTTAACTGGAAAGATGCAAGGAGACTAGTAATTAGAAGAATACTGTGTGGGAATATTAATAATGGGGCAGAATGCTAATGGCACATAGAAGCAGGATCCAGGGATGCTTAATATACTAAGATGAACAAGACAGAACAATATAATGAAGAATTATGCAAATATTACTAGTGCCCCATTGAGAAAGAATGTTGCAGTTGAAATAAACAGAAAGATGATCTGATAATGGTTGGTGTCTTTTCTTATTGAAACTGTACAGTCTTTGCCACCCTTCCACAAAACAAACCTAAAATGAAGGACCATTTTAAAATTATTCCCCCTGCTTTGCAGGTGAGATAAAATGAAGGTCCATGCTAGGTGAAAAACTGAGGAGAATAAACTTTGAAGGAGGCAGAAATGAACAACAGGTTAGATGAAGAGTAGGAATGTGAAGAAGGAATATTGATTTTATTGACATTCTCATTCTCCTAACTTATACATTATTAAAGACAAAGTCAGGGACTCAGAAACCAGTATTTTCTTTCCTTTAACAATCCTTTAGACCTGACCTATATCTCTGTGTTGAAGTGAATGAGTAAAAATAAAACACAAGAACACAAAATTTGTGTTCTTTTTATATTCCTTCCTTCATTTCCTTGTATAAACACTGTACTTTTCATCAAGGGAGGAGGAGACTAAGGTTATTCCAGCCCACTATAATATGTCTTTCCCAAGAATCAGTAAGAAATGTTTTGGGTAGACAGAGCAGCACTAGCATTCGAACAAATATAAGATAGGGTTTTTAAAAATCCAGTAACTGGGGGAGTACAGGGGGTGGGCTGGGAAGGGAGTAAAAGGCAGTAAACTGTACTTGAAAAATAATTAAATAAAAAAGATTTTTTAAATCCAGTAACTATATGTTAAATAGTATTTATTTTTAAAAAGATATCCTCTCCCTTCTAGTTAGATAGAACTCAACCTTAAATCTTTTTTTAAATAAATACTCAGATCTCTTTAGTTCCTAATTACTTCAAAAATTTAAAAAGGATTTTGTTTATTTTTAGACAGAGGGGAAGGAAGGCAGAAAGAGGGGAAACAAACATTAATGTGTGGTTACCTCTCATGTGCCCCTACTGGGGACCTGGCCCACAACCCAGGTATGTACCCCAACTTGGAACTGAATCTTAAATCTTATAGAAGTCAATCTCTGTTTCAACCCGTATGATGTATCAATCTCATAATGTATCTATAATGAAGCGTACACATATTAAAAAAAATCTGAATGTACTCTAGTATATTCTGAGCTCTGTAGATTGCTTCAACTTCTATGTTTCACTGGAAGTAATATGGAAAGTATACAACTACCTCTTCCTGATCCAACATTCTTGTCATCAATTTCAATGACAAACTATAAAGCACTGTCAGGAATAATATGAATGGTGTTCAACTTACCTCTTCTTGATCCAACATTTGTGTCTTCAATTTCTCTACCAACTGGCTCTGTTGATTAATTTCCTCATCCTAGAATTTTAATATAACAAGTAGCTCGCATAACACAGTATGTGATAACTATCCTCCCCAAAATACTTTAAAAACAATCTCTCCAAATTCAACATAATTTATTCCAATCTCTTATGAAAACGTTTAAACAAATGTAGTCTCTTTCAATGATCAGTAATTTTAACACTTATCATGCAATAAGAAAAAAAGCTATTCATCAAGTATTTTAAATGCAAAAAAATAATTAACATTCAAAGCTATTATTGAAAATAGCCATACAACCACATGAAAATTGCCACCTCTGCTTAAAATACATAAAAATACCACCTAAAAACAAAAACAGAACAATTTTCTTCTAATCTCTTTACTGCTTTTGTTTTTCCCTTCCTCTCTGTGGGTTCATAATTTGTTATTTTTCACACTACTGACTGATATAATCAATGCAAGAAGATATTTTCACTCTATTCTAATCCACTGTCTAATCATCTTCTATTAGTCTTCAGATCTCTGATTCTAAGTGACCATTTCAAGAACTCTCTCCATTGACTTAATGCCAAATTATTTTAGAAAGTTTGGGGTTTTTTTGCTTAAAAACAAGGGGGGAAAAAAGACATGCCTCATACAGTTTCCTCAAAGATACAGAAATTGTGATTTTCTATTTTTTTGTAAACACAATTTTTCAAAAGGCTAACAAAAATCTAGAAAGATGTATATAGGTCATGAGGACCAATAATAAAATTTGAAAATAAAAATATCTTATTAGCAATATTCTAGAACAAAACACAACACAAAAATACCCACCTTGTCGTCAAGTTGTTTGTATAATTTAGCAATTTCTTCTTCACACTTTCTTCTTTCAGCATCAGTAAATTTTCCAGTAACTCCAATTGTGGCTGCTGGTTTATCATTAGTAACAGCTGTATCTTTATCCACTGCAAAAGCTTCCAAGTTGGCTTTCTCTTTGTCAAATTGTTCATCAACAGGCACCGTCTCTCCTAAAATGTGACAGCAGAATGGTCAATAAAAATTGACCTGTCTAAAATTAATCTCAATTTTATTCAATTTCAGCAGCTCCTACCAACTTTCTTATCTGCTTAGATCTGAAAAGTCGTAATTACTTTTGACTCTCCTCCATCTCCTAAATCCAGTCATGAAATCTTTATTTCTACCCTAATCTAAGCAACTTGTCATCCTGTGACTTTTATGGCTTGCAAGTTAGCTTTTGTGCCTCATTTATTATTCTAGGTAAAACCAGAATTTAATGTAAAAGACTTTATTCATTTGTATCTGATGATTCCTTTTTATCTGATGATTCCTAATGCCTAATGTGAAAATGGATGTTATTTACATTCATACATGAATCTCAAATTTATAAAATAGCTCTAAATCTGTATTCAACAACTAAAAATGACAAATTCTTCAGTTATTACCATTACGCCATCGGTTGAGTTCATTCTCAAGCCACTGAATGGTGTTCCGCAGGGTCTTATTTTTTTCTTTTTCTCTTTCGTACTTCTTTTTCCACTGTTCTGCGGTTAATTCTACATTGACACAAACTGTGTTCTTAATTGTTTTGGCCCTAAGAGAAGTGATTGGGGAAGAAAAGAATGTGACTTAAATTACTTTCAATTGTTATCTAATCATTCTAGGGGAGATATATATATATATATATGGCAATGTAATTTAACTTAACTATTCTTGACTAGTGAAGTCTGACTAAATACTGAGAGTTTTAATCATTATAGTGCTTTTTCATATCCCAACTAAATTTGGGTCAGCCCCAACATTTGTGAATATTAAAACAAACAACCTGTCAACCTGATGAAGATAAAACATGAGAGACTATATTTTCCGATTCCTTTGCAAGGTTGAATTAAGAAATTACTGTTGAAAAGTCAAAAATAAAGCTATCATTATTTTTCCAGGCTGACAATCTTATATAGATTATTTGAACCCTGTCAATTGTGACAACAGGTTAAACATAGGATTATGTGTATTGGACTTGTCCTATACTACCTGATTCAAATGCTTATTTCCTTAATGCTGAGTTAAAGTTTCTCACATAAATTTGACTAAAGTTAACATTTGACTTTAATGTTTACTAAAACTTAATTCAAATCCAAGCAATCTAAAATTATTGACCTTACTTGTACTGTCTAAATTTAAAAGTGGTGTCTAGCAGCACACTAACAATATGAACTAATTTGAATACTGTCTACCTGATATTTTCCTAGATTTCATTAGCAAAAGGTCAATCTGTATTAAAACTTTGTATTTTATTAACAACAAACCTTTGGCCAAAAAGGAGAGTAGATTTTGTTTCGGATTCATTGTATGATGATGGAGAACAACAAATTACAATAGTGGTTCTACAGTTCCCACCTAATGAATCTTGAAGGATTCTTGTCATTTTACTATCTCGATATGGAACATAGGTCTATAAAGAAAAAAACAAAAACACAGAAAACCAATGGGCTTCTTCTACATAATAAAATGTTATGTAAATAGCATAAATATGCTATTTTTAAAAATTACAAAGTGATCCAGTTATTTTAATATTAAGATGAGAAGTAGGATATACATACCAGTACTAAAAATTAATTTCTTAGAGACAACAGATTCGCATTTATTGATTCAAACAACAGTGAATCTCTCACTCACTCACACATCCATGCACATACACACTCATTTAAGTAATTCCTGATAGAATAAGACAGGGAAATAGAAGGTATGTATACTTACACTACCCTCAGCCAAAGCAGAAATAACATTTCCAAGAGCAGAAAGTGACTTGTTGATGTTCTTAGCTTCATCCAGCACAGCACCTTCAGCTCCTGTCTTACTAACCTATAATAAGATTTCGAAAAAAACTTACAAGTGTAAGACGATTTTATTTGAATTTTCTAGAAAGTCCACAAGTCGCCAATAACCAGTAAAAAGGAAAGAAAATTAAAACTTGACATTATTTGCCAAGTGTTTACTCTCAGGTACCACTATTTCTCAAGTATTATTACTTTGAGAACTTGAGTCAGTAACCATCTGCACAAGAATGTAATTAAGGAAATGCCCAATTTTATTTTTAGTTTGTACTCGTCAACATAACCAATTCACTTAAACATATAGTCATACTTTACTAATTTTTTAAAAGATTTATTTTTGAGAAAGAGGAAGGGAGGGAGAAAAATGGAGATAATAATCAGTCTGTGAGAGCTAGATCAACTGGTTGCCTCTTGCATACCCCGAACTAGGGACCTAGCCTGCAACCCAGGTACATGCCCTGGCTGGGAAGTGAATTAGTAAGCCTTTGGTTCTCAGGCTGACACTCAGTCCACCGAGCCAAACCAGCCAGGGATATAGTTTAGTAATTTTTTGAGTCCCTTTTGCTATATTAGAAAAGAGGAATCTCTCAAAATTTGCTAGAGTATGCCCTTCCCTGGCTGGTGTGGCTCAGGGGACTGAGTGCTGACCTGTGAACCAAAGGGTCGCTGGTTCAATTCCTAGTCTAGGACACATGCCTGGGTTGTGGGCCATATCCCTAGTAAGGGGTGCATGAGAGGCAACTGCACACTGATGTTTCTCACCTTCTCTTCCTCCCTCCCTTCCCCTCTTTAAAAACAATAAATAAAATTTGCTACAGCATAAAGTTGATGTAACCATTAGAAAAAAGAAACTACAAATACATAAGCAATCTTGCTTCTTTTAAAGAATGTGAAATATTGATATTCATGAATATGTTGCAATGTTGGTGGAAGAACTGGCATCTCACAATCTGCAAAATAGAGACAGGTTTTAAAGGTTGTATACAAGACTTTTGAATAGAAAGAAATAGGTATGTTATTCTAAATCAGAAGGAACAAACTAGTAAAACAATGCAAAAATGGTCACAGAGGTCAATATTAAAACATATGAATTTACTTTGACAGAAACTAGGGTCAGACTATATAGGATTGTAATAATGAAATAATCATTGAAAGGAGTATAGCCAAAGCAGAAAGGACTAATGGATAGTTACCAGTTTTCATAGGGAACCCTTTGCCAATATGGATAAAAAGATGCCAAAATTAGAAGGATACCTACAGAATCTGTAATGACATAAGCTGAAAAGGTTCTCAGTAAAAACATACCTAAGTCAAAAGTAATACCTATTGGTTGAACAGGACTATGGTCCAAATAACAGAGATCTGAACTGATTATTGAGTTTAGATAATCATAAAGCATTGATACCAATGCTTGCAACTCTCAAAAAATGCTTTAGATATATGTAAAGATTTTACCTTTTCACTACCAGCTAAATCAACCAGATAAAGTTTTCCACTCAGCTTTTGCTCCGTTTGTGTGTTCTCTTGTTTTACGTTAATAAGAAATATACTGTGACTCCTAGAGCTATGTTCATTCATATCTGCAATGAAATTACACAAACAACTATAAACAAACATGGCTTTTCTTTATTAATAATTTCTAAGGCATTATTTAACATAAAAACCTCACAATCACCTTGATAAAGATAATTTAAGGCAATTTTGTACCTTACCTAGTATTAATAAATAAATCAACTTACTTGTAACTGCTACATGTCTGTTGGATTTCCCTTCATCTATGGTATCCATAACTTCATCTGGACTACATACAAAACGCTCTGTGCATCCCTGTAAAACAATTTTGTTTAGTATGTCGATATCCTTATATTTTTTATTTCAGGGCTTTTCTAAATAATCACTCTATATTATTTAATTAGTACCTTTACATAGGGGACTCGGTTTTTATCTTCATGAACTGAAAGGTTGGTTTTTGAAACTGAAAAGAAAAAGAAATAATGTTAGCAACACTTCCCTAAACTCTAACACTGGCTGTGAAATTCAATTGTTTCCTTCCCAAAGCAGCCTGATGGCAATAGGTAAACTTTAAAAATACGAGAACGTCACTATTAAAATAAGACCCTGTAGAAATAGTAGATTTACGTAGAAACCAATGTAGCAATATAGAATTTTAGATCCAGTCCAACCTCTACCATCCACATTTTGGAAATAAAAACATTAAGCCAGTATGGTTCAACGGTCTGTCCCAAAACAGTGTATCTAATTGACAGCTGACAAAAGACCAGAATTCAGGACTCAGGTTCTCAAATTATAGTTCAATGTTCTAATCAGTACTTACAAAACACTGATTAATATCTGCTTTAAATAAGTTATTCCGTGTGTTAAAAGGCACTCAACTATAACTAAAAGAAAAAATTTTAATGTGTTTCCTAGATCAAAAGGCAAGAATTTAACTTACCATCTAATAGGTCCCTTATCTTATCCAAATAAATTTCAAAATATGAAACCTAAAAGGCAAAGAAATAAAGGAAAAATATCAACCAATTAAAATATAAAGTTATTTATTTACTTACTCATTAAATAGTTATTGGGATCTGAGAGCCAGATGCCATCTAGACTAGGGGAAGAGAGTTATTAACAACTCAGCCCTAGTACATATTCTAACCAACAGACCTAAATTCACCAAACTGCTTATATAACTAAAAACCAATTTACATCATGTATTTTTATCTAAAATAAATTCGACAAGTTAAGAGTAGTAAGAACCTTAAGTTCTACAGTAAAACAAACAGCTTTATTTTACAAAGAAGGCAAAACAGGCAAAAGAGACTTGGCTAACTTATTTCAGGTCATCTAATGGCAGATGAAGAATTCAAGTTTACTAACTCTAATGATCTTTATATCAGTCCATAAAATAATTCTTAAAATATTTTAAAAGGGAAATTAGCATTGATTACACTTGTAACAGAATTATTCTAAGTATAAAATAAAATATGACATTTCCCCAAGGATTTTACCTTAATATGGAATTCCAAATTTTCATCCATGGAATAAATATAATTAAAAATATCTTGCACTATTCTTGGAATAATTCCCATGCCTTCTGGATCATGAAGTTTTCCCTAAACAGAAAACAAAATCAGACTTCTTTTTTTTTTTTTAAATATTTTATTTATTTATCTTTAGAGGGGAAGGGAAGGAGAGAGGGAGAGAAACATCAATGTATGGTTGCCTTTCATGCGTCCCCTGCTTGGAACTGGCCTGCAGGGAACTGGTCTGCAACCCAGGCATGTGCCCTGACTGGGGAATCGAACCGCGATTGTCTGGTTCGCAGGCCCACGCTCAATCCACTGAGCTACACCAGCCAGGGCCCAAAATCAGACTTCTTAAATCAACTATAAAGTATGAAGTAAAATTCAAAACGTTCAATGTATAATTTACAGTCAATAGAGAATTGAAATTGTTGCCACTTTTGATGAAAATGGCTCTACAAGTATCTAAAAAAACCAATTCAACTATTACACATTTTGGGAAGTTACATGTAAATACTGTGTATAAATATATATATGAAAACTCTGGTAAGTTACATGTAAGTACTACATAACCACATGGGTTACCAACTAATCTTGGCCTTTCATTTAATCATTAGTTTTAGATTTTCCATGTTTGTAAATGAACACATTCTAGAAGAAGGTTTTAGCTTTTTTCCATATACATCTGCATTGTTCCTTCCTACTTCAAGTCAAATTTATGCAAATGCTACGTATGTCCTTGTTCCCAGACTTTATGAAAATAAGTTAATAAATTTAAATAAGCTGTCATTTACTTTATATAGAAAGCTCAGCTATATGATAAAAGCAGATGCTTGGCAGCAGTGGTAAAAGTTTTCTAGAAGCAAAGCTCAAACAGGTCTACATCTATTATTAATTCTTACCAGAGAAGAATGGCAGTTTAGAGAGTAGGGAAGGACCAAAGAGAGGAGTGAGAAATTAATTGATCTTAATAAAACTGAAAACACACATTCAAATTTTTCCCATTGTAAGGCGACAGAAAATTCCTGTTTAACTCTAAAATGTTCATATTTTGTGGTTATGCTCATTGATAAAGCTAAGTATGATTTAAAATATATAATTTCACTATTCAAACTCAAGAACTGATTAGATTCTAACAATGAAGTTCCTTGCATATTATTTGCATGAGAGAAAGCAGAGAGTAAATAAAGATGTTTGAACGTGGTAAAAACAAATGATTGAATGTACCATCTGTACTACAAACTACATTCAAGTTCAGATTACAAATTTTTACCTCCATTGTGTGTGTCTTCCCAGAGGATGTCTGTCCATATGCAAATATTGTTCCATTGTATCCCTCAAGTACATCTATAAGAAAGTAGGATATTTTATACTTGAGGAGATTCTTTCCCTTAATCAAAATTCTTAAGAAATTAAGAATGTTAGAAAATACTCTAAAATATTTCATATATACAGAACCCTTTTCCTTATCCATATATAACCATTATAAATTACTTATGGTAAGAATGGTGAGAAAGATTCAGATTGTCTTTATACTAATATGAAAGAGTCTATCAGAGTCTAAATTTAGTATATGAAAGATTTATGATGATAGTAAAGAAAATAAGTAATATATTTAATAGTAATTTTCTTAGTGATTATCTGATGATCCATCTAAACAATTACTATCTCTCCAGCCCAGATTACTTTCTGTGGTCAACAAGAAACAAATGTTAAATTCCCTTGTTTATAAATTATCAGTTATGTCAAGTGTACATCTCAAATGTCATTACACCTATATTCTAAAGCTTTACATGACCTAAAAGAAATGTTCCACCAATTTATATACAGATATGAATGAGCTTTAGAAATAGGACTACTGATTAGTGGTTAACTGGGGGGGAGGGGAACTATCCCAGTATTGGGCACAACTAGGTAATAGATTTCCTACAGAAATATTTATTAGCGAGAAAAAGAAGACACCGTACTTATTTTCCTGATAAAAATTTAATAGGCCTCAAACATTTAGAACTTTCTGTCAAAATCATTTCAGTTTTAAGAAGGAAAGCAAAATAAGCTCAACAATCACATTTAAAATAGATGGAATTGCATTATGTCTGTCAGAAACTCTGAAGAAGAAATCATCTGGGGGCAGGGAAACACTGGACACTTCAACTCATTTCCTTCACATAGTCTTTCTTGGCATGGCTATGTTACATCCTCTGCCTAAAATCTTTTAATCAATCACATAACATGTAACCATAAGTTCCAAAATGTTTTAGATGTATACAAGGTCCATTCATGATATGATCCAATTACACAGTAACTACAACAGGTAGTTAATATCTGTAGGTGAATGAGTGACTTTCCCAAGAATGCATTAGTAGCCTTTGTCTATATATATTATAGTACATATGAGTTATGTGAAACTATATAATACAAAGGCTCCTAAGGCTAAGGGGGTATGCAGCACATTCATGTTTGGGACTTCAAGCACAATTTCAAGAATTTTATATCATTACAGAGATTAGGAAATACTCAACATTCAAACACTTACTGAGCACCTGCTATGACCCAGGCTATTGTTTGGGTGCGGGGGATATAGCAGTGACTGATTAGGTGATTTCTCACCCAAAGTAGTAAGTTTTATATCAAATAGGAAAATAATCACTTTTTATTAATGGGTATTAATCACTAATTTAATACCCATTTCTGTCTTTGCTTTCTAGTGATTTAACTCTTTATACTTCATCTTTAAAAAATTTAGATTCCGCCAAGATGGAGGCATAGGTGGATGTGCCGTGCCTTCTCACTTAGAGACAACTAAATATTAGCAACAGAAAACGCAGCCAGAACACGGAAAACTGAACTTTTCGGAAGTCCGTTAACAACAAATTCTTCAGCCTGACCCGTAAGGGGCCAAACCAGCAGCTGGTGGAGCGGTGTTGCACAGGAGGACTCAGTCAGACGGACTCAGGCGTGAGGAATCCAGGCGCAGGGCTGGACCTAGTGAGCGACTGAGCGAGCGACCAGGCGAGTGACTGCGAAGGAGGGCGGGGGGGAGTGGGACTGCATGTTGACTGTGGTTGCGCATTTGTGCGCAGGTGGACAGGCGAGGGAGTGGGCGATTGGACCGGGACCCAGTGGGTCCCCAAGGCAAGCGGCAGGGAGAGCGCCGCCATTTCCCTGCTCTGACCCCACCTCCACATACAGCGTCATAACACAGCGACTCTGAGTGGCCCAGCCCAGGTGAACCACCTAAGGCGCTACTCCTCACCCAGCTGTGAGAAACAGCAGAGGGGGTTGCCATTTCCCCGCTCTGACCACGCCCCCACATACAGCGTCACAATCCAGCGACCTGGGAGTCCAAGGCCTGCTTCTCACACTTAAAGGGTGCGAACAGACCAAAAATGGCGCAAGAAGATCTCAAAGCCCCAGAACCTATAGATCTAAGTGATGAAGAAATAGCAAAACTCTCAGACACACAGTTTAAAACACTGCTGATCAGGATCCTCACAGAACTGGTTGATTATACGGACAAATTAGACAAATATATGAAGGCGAAACTAATTGAAATGAATGGAATTGCACAGGACACCAATAGCAATGAAAAGGAAACTGGGACTCAAATCAATGGAGTGGACCAGAAGAAAGCAAATAATGGCCAAACAGAAAAGAGTGAAGAAGCAAGAATTCAAAGAAATGAGGAGAGTCTTAGGAACCTCCAGGACATCTTTAAATGCTCCAACATCCGAATTAGAGGGGTACCAGAAGGGGGAAAGGCACAACCACCAGTGGAAAACTTATTTGAACAAATAATAAAGGAGAATTTCCCCAATCTGGCAAAGGAAATAGACTTCCAGGAAGTCCAGGAAGCTCAGAGAGTACCAAAGAAGTTGGACCCAAGAAGGAACACACCAAGGCACATCATAATTACATTAGCCAACATTAAAATGAAGGAGAGAATCCTAGAAGCAGCAAGAGCTAAGGGGACAGTCACCTACAAAGGAATCCCCATCAGACTGTCAGCTGATTTCTCAAAAGAGACCTTACAGGCAAGAAGGGGCTGCAAAGAGGTATTCCAAGTCATGAAATCTAAAGACCTACAACCAAGATTGCTCTATCCAGTAAAACTTTCATTTAGAATGGAAGGACAGGTAAAGTGCTTCTCAGATAAGATCAAGTTCAAGGAGTTCATCATCACCAAGCCCTTATTATATGAAATGGTAAAGGGACTTATCTAAGAAAAAGAAGTTAAAGAAACATGAACAGTGAAAGGACAACAAACTCACAGTTATTAACAACCATACCTAAAACGAAAGCAAACTAAAAGGACAGCTAGATCAGGAGTGGAAACATAGAAATGAAGAGCTCAAGGAGGGTTAGCAACAGGGGAGTGGGAGGAGGAGAAGGAAGGAGAAGGTACAGAAAATAAGTAGCATAGACAGTAGATAGAAAATAGATGGGGGGGGGCAAGAATAGCATGGGAAATATAGAACCTAAAGGACTTGAGACACATGGTCCTAAACTAAAGGGGGGGGGGTAATGGTGGGATGGGGGGGTAGGGTGGAGGGGAATGAAAGGGGGAATAGAACAACTGTAACAGCATAATCAATAAAAAAAAGGAAAAAAAAATTTAGAAACTGAATGAACTTTACAGTGAACATGCCTATATAACTGTAACCAAGATTCTACCATTAACATTTTACCATTTTACTCTTTGCTTTAATCATGTACTCAGCCTTCCATCTTATTTTTTAATGTATTTCAAACTAAAATGTAGACTTCAATACATTTCCACCTAAATACTTTGCCTTGCATATACCACTAACTAGAATTCATTACTTTAGAGTTTTATATCTGAGGTAAAAATTTACAATGAAACATATTATCTTAAGTATGGATCTTTAAACTAAAATAATAGTTGCCTATTTGATAATCCTAGAGGGTACACACCTGTATTCAGATAAAATTAGGCATTTTTTGACTTGGCTCTTGTTTTTAGCTCCATCTCTCACCATCCTTCCCCTCACACTGCTGTTTTTGTTGGTAAAAATGTTCAAATCTGACAATTTCATACAGTTCAATTTCAGTTGCATTATAATGGGTGTTATTCCCCACACATGTACTCTTTTCATACGGACAGGCATTAACTTGTGTCCTCTCTCTGCCTGGAAGGCAAACCTCCTTCTCCCTACTTTTTATGCATCCCTTTAGACTTAGCTCAGGCTTTTGACTCCTTCCTCCAACCCAACTCTACACCCACCCCAAATAAGTATGGTTAAGAGTCCTATCCTATGTGTTCTTATACGTAAGATCATATGTATAAGATCATAGTTATCTTAATCATAATACTCTTGCTGTAGATTACAACTGTCAATTTACTTGTCTGCCTTCCTCACCAGGTTGTGAACTCCTTGAGGCCTGCCTGTTTAACTCCTAGCGTAGCACCTGGTACTTAGTAGGAACTCAAATGCTTACTGAATAATTATCATCATCACCATCACTAACGCATAGCACCTTTCTAAAGCCTCCTTCACCTTTTAAAATATACTTTTGCTGTTCTTGTGAGAAACAAAAGTAGACAACTACTGACAAATATTACTTCTATCATACTTTGTCAACAAGAAAAACACTTGGTGCAACAACAGCACATCACTTTCTAAAAGTAGCCTTATCTCTCTGAACTTTAGCTTCCTCATTAGCAAAATGTTTGCTTAGGGGAAAACTCTAAGAACTAGAAGTCACTGTATAAAATTATTAATGTTAATATTTAAAGTGTATAATATGTCAGACTCTAATAATTTTTCATATAGTAATGTACTTAATCCTTATAACACCCTGTACTATTTTTAGTCAGTCTCATTTTATGGAGGCACAGAGAGACTAAATAACTTGCCTACAACTAGTAAGATGGAACTGGGGTACAAATCCAGGCAGTCTCTTAATTACTCGAGACATGCTCTTAATCACCACACTATGTTATCAAGTAACTCAAGAACTTATATGAATATTTGGCAGGCTACATCTGAAAAATTGAATGTGGATTCATGGGTAGACAATTCAGGTCAGGACACTGTGGTAGGTAACTGGGGAATCCAATCCATGAATGCCTGGAATACAGCAAGTACTGAATACGGGGGAAACAAACTTGCAGACAACACTCAGATTCTGAATTCAAGAGAATACAAGTTGGTAAACCTTGTTCAAAAGAAAAGAAATCTATCTAATGAATCCACAAGTTATATACGCATACAGAAATTGATAGAACAATGCAGCCTCAGTGGAGTGTCAAAGGCCCAGAGATTACTAGCAGCTTTCAGGTCATTCCTGGTAACTTGCTCACCAAATCTACAATTCAGATGACA